GAAATTACTCACCTGTGGGTAGAATTGGTTCCAAAACTGGAAATGATTTCACCACAGCATTCATAGCTTAGGGTATTTTATTTTTAAAAACTTATTTGATAAGGGGAAATACATCATTGTTGCTTTCATTTGCATTTTGGTTACCAATATGGCTAAACATTTCTCTATAGGATTGTTACCTATTTAGATTTTTTGTTAATTATCTATTTTCCTATTTAAGTGTGTTTTTGTTTAAATTATCTGCATGTAGAAAACCCATTTTTTTAAAGAGAAAAAACAACAAACCTCTGCTCTCATGGATATTTTATGAAGAGTTCCATCCAACCCTAATGCTCCAGAATTTCAACATTTCAAGTACTGTGTTTCAGGCTCAACTTTTTTTGTTCATAGTAGTGGAGCTGCCTGTTCAGTTCCTGAAGCAAGTTTAGATGGATAGGGAGCACTACCCCTTGGTATCAGACAATATACAGTGATCACTGAGTGCTTTGCAGTTTGGGAAGTGGGTATGTTTTACTATATCCATTTACACATGAGCACAGTGATGCACAGAAAGGTAAAATCACCATAGTCACATATACTTTTAGAAGGGTTCTGGTCACGAATTCCAATGTGATTCTTGGACACCAGCTGGGTGTCCTACAACTCAACTCAATTCTAGTACTATTTACCCAGAGATAGCATCAGTTTCCACAGGTAAAGGGCTCAGTCCCACGAGACGGCTGGCCATCTGCTTCAGATGCCAATCACAAGTCCATGTTATCACCTGTGCTTCTGGCCAAATGGCTGTAAATCAGAGGTTCCCGCAACCTCTTCTGAAGTTTCTATTAATTTGCTAGAATGGCTCACAGAACTCAGGAAACCCATTTACTCACCAGATCACTGATTTATGACAAAGGATAATAAAGGAAACAAATCAACAGCCAGATGACAAAATTCTTAGTCCCTAACAAAGGAACTTCTGTTTGGATCCTGGCATTTGGAAGTGCCTGGTTCCCCAGCCTGGAAGCTCTTTGAACCCCCTCCTTTTCGGTTTTTAGGTAGGCTTCATTACATAGGCATGACTAATTAACTCATTGGCCATTGGTGATTGATTTTAACCTCCAGTCCCTCTCGCCTCCCTGGAAATCAGGGAGTAGGACTGAAAGTTCCACCCTTCTATTCATATTTGGTTCCTCTTGCAGCTAGCCCCCATCCTTAGGTGCTTTCCAAAAGTCACCTTCATGAACTAAACCCACTTGTGGTGGAGTGGACCTTGTTGTGAATAACAAGACATCGGTTCACCTTTTTGACTCTGAAGCAATTTTAGGAAGTGAGGAAAAGAGACTAAATATTTTGACAAAAGATGCTCCCACTGCTCTTACTGCTCAGGAAATTCCAAGGATTTTGGAAGGTATGAGCCAGGAATTGTGGTCATGGATGAAGACCAATTACATATGAGAAATATATGTTGTTCATCTGAATGGCCAAATACATATTTCTTATAAATCACGATATTTTAACTGTTATACTACCTCTGAATATTAGCTAAAGTGGCTTGTCTCCTCTGTTGTATTGATCTTTGAGGGAGCTGGGCTTCGGAATATTAGCATCTTCCTTCTAACTGTGTTGCCTATTTCTGGGAGAACTTTGTGGTGTTAGATAATTTTACTATCTTAAACTTCCTCACTGTATCTTTGATTTCACTTACCCTCTCTTTTGGATTTTCCATCCTTTTTATGGCTACATTCTGATACTTTCTTTTGACCTATCTTCTAAGTCACACTGTGTCTCTTCAGCTGTATCTAATCTGTAGTTAAGTCCACCCGTTGCATTCTTAATTTCAGTTCTAGAACTTCTAGTTCTTTTTCAAATCTTTAATGTTACTTTTTGTAGTTCCTGTTTCCTTGTTTTGAAAATTTTAAGCCCAACTTGTATCTTCCTGAACATATTAAATATAGTTGTTTCACATTTTGTGTCTGGTAATTTTCCCATCGGGAATACGTGTGTCTATTTCTTCTGTCTGTTGTTTGTTATGATTCTCATGCTGTCCCCAACATTTTCATGTGGAAAGCAAAATTCTCACCCATGGCCAAGGCTAGCACTTGTGGAGACTGAACTACTATGTCCAGGCTCAGGAGTCAGGGTGGTCTTTCCAGGGGGTTCTTCTTAAATCTAATGTTTCAAAAGAAGCTTTCTGATCCTTTCCAGCTTTTAGAAAGTATGTGCTTATTATCCATGTGTTCTCAGGATCAGCAGCCAAAGCTACTCTCCCTACCTTGCTCCAACTCTCATAGATGTTTTCCCCAAACTGTCATGAAACCAGATAAATTTACAATGAGCAAAGTGTATTTGCTGAGTTTGAAGAGGTTGGGAAAGGGGCATGGAATGGTGGGAAGCTCTCCTTCACCACCTTACCAGAGTTTTCATTGACTTTTTTGAGGGGGTTCTTATTTTTATTTTGGGGTACCTTTCTCCCTGGAAACCTTGGAGCTGTCTTCTCAGAAAATTTCTTTCTGCACAGAGAACCATAGGTTCTCTCTCATCCTTCAAGTGTGTAGTCATTTGGTAAAGTGAAGGAAGATGTGGGCAGCAGGGATCCGCCCTCTGGAAAAGACTTGTGTTTTGGTCGGGGGAGCATCCTCACCAACTTTTTAGAGCCTATTGTGTATTCCATGATTTATCCAGCTTATTTTTATTTTTATTTTACAACATTGAACACATAAGAAAGTCTATATGTATAACTTTGTACACCTATTGCTAGAAATATAAATCCTCCAGTTAGGTTTTAATAACTGTCCTTAAAGGCACAAATCGTCCCTCTACTCTCAGGTAGTTCTAAGATTGTGACCTATCCTTTTGGAAGAACTGATAAATTGATAGATGACTTAATTAATTTTGAAGAAGCAAATTTTTTATTCTCCCAGAATATGTGATTATTTTTGGAGGCAGGATTACTAGAAAGCCCAAACAGTCACAAGAATTTATGGACCATGATGTCTGAAAACTCTTCAGCCTGAAACAAAGTAAATTAATTTCTCCAGCATGATTCACTTTAGGTATAAGCCAAAATTCTTTAACAGTAACTTAGGTTCTTATGCTGATTTTCCTAAAGAGGTATAGTTATTTTGAGATCAAGGCCATTTTTATATTTCTACTGGCAAATTTCCCATTTATTTGAATTTGAAGTTTCCCCCAGTCTTTTTGGGACCATTTTGTATGCTAATAAGATATAATACACTGCTCTTTCAGGAACATGTGAGAGCCACAGGGAGTTCAGACAAAGTTAGCTGAGCAAATTCCCATACTTGTCATAGAGATCAGCACATTACCTTCAGGATGTAGTGGTAGTGATATTTTTTACCAGGTCTGCAAACTTTTTACTAGGTCCTGTAACAGTAAATTATTACAGCTTATTTGAAAATGGACAATGAATGGATTCGGGCTGCCTGTCACTATTTGAGCCAATTAAGCATAGACAGGGTTGAATTGTATATGGGCGTTTATTCCAATAATGCCAGCAGCATGGGAGAGCATCAGGATCCATCCACATAAAATCTGCTCTACTGCCCCCGATAAGCCAGCTACTTATATTGGGTAGAAGGACAAACATTATATGGGAAAGTAGGAATTACAGGCATGGGGAAGTAAGCAAGGTATAATGCTAACGGGTTATAAGCAATGAGGGCTGGGGGTCACAAAGGGCGGTGCCTCTAGGACTGCATTGTTTTGGGAATAAGGCTGTTAATCTTCCCATGGTGATAGGCAGTTCTCAGATGGGTAGGACCGCATTCCAAGGTTAACTCCCATGTCCCAGGGCGTACAGCTCTCAGCCAGGTTAGAATGTGCTTTCTCTAATAAGAACAGAACAATCATGGTTAACAGAGCATGGTTAATATTTCTTATAACCACAACTAGTCCCCACTATTTTATTTCTGCCCCTAACATCACTATTCTATTTCTGCCCCTAACACATTCAACAGAAAAGAAAAGGGACAGAAAAGTTCAGAAACCTGATATGATTGCATTTGTAAGAGGAGAATAGGGAAGTTGATTGCAGTAAAGCACTTAGGAAGAGGAGGTGGGAAATATATTACAGTGGAGTAACTACAGGGAACTACTTTGAGCTCTCCGGATTGGAGGAGGGGAAATGAAAACGTTTTGACCAATTATTATAGGGTTCCAATGTCCACCTGATAGGAGTCAAAGAGGGCTTTAATCACCCACCCATCTGCCACATAATAAAGCCAGTGAAATCTGTGCCATCAAAGTGACAGAGAGCACTTTAGGACATTCAGAGTAAGGAGAGAGACAATTGTTCTGCCCTGTGAGTGAGAATATGTCTGGTGAATAGTTTTGGGCATGTTGTGACTCAAATAGCTGTTCATTTTTCTGCACTTTACCATTTTCTTGAGCTGAATGGAGACTAAAGACAAATAAAAGACTTAGATCCTTATTTTGTGGGGTCTCTGAATGATGATGAGGAGTGGGGTTCCAACAGGAAAATGCTCTTCATTTATTAGAGTATTTTAGTTAAAAGGTTTAAGTCTTGTTTCCAAATTTTTGTGCATGCTTTTATTCTTCAAAAGTTATTGAATTTGTAAATCCTGAAGATCCCCTTTTTTTATGAGCAGTCTTTGAAAGTGAACCTGAAATGCATTTATGGAACAAGAGGCAGTAAAAATCCTTTGGCTTCTCTCTTCAATTTATTCAGAAGCAGATCCCTGGAACCAAAGATTTATCGGTCCTTTAACAGTTGACTTTTCTCTTATTTAACCAACACACAATACAGTGTTTTGCTCTACATTCCTGAGTTCAGGATTTGGTTTCCATAATATATTAAATAACCTCTTACTTTCCATTCCACCTTTCCTATTGGTAAGAAATAATGAGAGCATTATTATTTAATTATCACCACTAAAAGCAATGTCAAATTTCAGTAATCTAAAACTATATTACCTTTAACTGAGATTATTTGAAATAAGATCTTTCTTCTCCATTAATGGATACCTAGAAAAGAAGGTGTATATAGTTGCAGATATAGGAGCACATACACATACAGTTATGATATGGGTTAATCATAAGTTTTTTGTGTTTTGGTTTTTTTTCTGGAAGGGCACAAGACATTGTTAGTAGCGGTGAAGTAAGAAGCAGCTGGTTATTGAGGTGAGAGAAATAATTTTTTATTTTATATGTTTCTATACTATTTCATTTAAAAAATAAGCACATATTTTTATTTAATAAATAATTAGGGGAAAAATTAGGAAGGGGGGGGAAAAAGAAAAGACACCACTGTATGTGAGATCCTGCAACTCTGAATTTAACCTCTGGATGCTTCCTCAGTGGGAATTCTGGTTTTTATAAATCATCAGATCAAAATCTACAGGAACACATGTTTAGCATACGGTGGGTATATCTTCCGTGGTTTTATGTAACTTGAGTTATGCAGCATGCCAATGTCTTCTTTGAGCCTCCCAGTGGCACTCTCGAATATGTTGGGTCAGTCTTAGGTGATTCCCATTTTACAGGGGGTGGGGAGCACGTAATTAGTCATTACCTGGATATCCAGAACTAGAGCCCAAGTTTGATTCCAAGTTTGATTCTTTTAATCCTGATAGAAAGAAATTTACTATTTGTTCTGGACATTCTTTTCAAAACACTCCAAGCTGCCTCCTCTCTGGTTTCATGCCATAGCATCTATTTCATTGTGTCTTAAATCATGGTTAGCTATGTAATTGTTTTCCTCATTAATTTTATCAGCATTGGCTGTCCCTCTTCTTTTTGTATCCTTACTGTGTCTAGTACATCATGATGCATATATTAGTTGCTTAGTCTTTGTTTTATGAAATTGGAGACTCAAGATACTTTCTCCCAAATAATTATCCATTTTTAGGAAAACAAACTAATAAACTTAGCCATTTCCACAAGACTAATGTCATTGACCACAAGAGAATTAGAACCACATGATGTTTGAGCTGAAAGAAAACCATCTTTGCAAGTATTTATTCTCTTGTTTTATAAATGAGGAACCCAAAGATCAAATAACTTGTTCAAGATCACACAGGGAATTAGAGTTGGTGCACAGAACCCAGCCCTCCTCCTGTGGCAATAATCATTACAGAGAACAGTTCTCTTGGTCATCAAACCTTTAGATGAATGGTCAATGCTGGCAGAATATAGGTCATACTGAATTAAAACTCCAACTGTAAGAGAAGAGGCATTGAGCTTATTTTCTCAAGTTTTAATAAATGATTTTTCAGGTGTATCTCTTTTGAAAGCAAACTTGCTATATAAAAGCTTTTTTTTAAAAAAAAATATATCTTTATTGATCTCAGAGAGAGGAAAGGNGAAAGCAAACTTGCTATATAAAAGCTTTTTTTTTTTAAAAAAAAATATCTTTATTGATCTCAGAGAGAGGAAAGGAGAGGGAGGGAGAGAGAGAGAAACATCAATGATGAGAGAGTCATTGATCGAGCTTGTAACCCGGGCATGTGCCCTGACCGGGAATCGAACCCCGATCACCTGGATCCTAGGTCGATGCTCAACTGCTGAGCCATGCTCGGCTGGGCTATAAAAGCATTTCTACAAAAAGCTTGACAGTAGGAATCCTTTAGATGAGCAGTATATCAACCATGTACTTTTGTTACAGAGTAAAATTATCCTCACTTGTTGGGCAAATCAAGGTGCATAGCATCAAAGTCGCGAAATGAGGAATTAATAGCGTTTTCTCTCTTACCTGATACCTTCTTAAAATGAAAGCCATGTCTGATCTGGTGAAGGAGCCAGCTGTCCCCCTCTTCAGCAGAGAGTGGAGAGCCTCCAATTCCAAAATTTATCCTTGGGCACCTAGGTGCCCCCACACCACTTCCAGTTTTTCAAACATGATGAGAAGGGAGCTGGAAAGATAGTTNTTCCAGTTTTCAAACATGATGAGAAGGGAGCTGGAAAGATAGTTTTGCCTGAAGCCACCCCAAAGAACAACAGAAGGAAATTTCAAAGAGGGAAACAGTTCCCAAAGTGTGGGGACAGTGGCAGTCCTGGATAGGACTCACTAGTGAGGAGGCAGAATGCAGTTTCATGAAGTAAGTACCTTTTGGACCAACCCCTGTTGGATCCATAGAGTCCTAGAAGGCACTAGCTCCTCTGAGCATGGTTGTAAAGGACATTGTGATAAAGGCTGTCTCTAAAATTCATTTTGGTTTAACAGATATGTAAGGTAGATGCTGTAGGACTGTTACAGTAAAATAGCAGGTGAGTCTCCTGGAATTTGTGCTGCACTTTCCAAACTTTTCTGCACTTGGAATCATCCAGGGACCTTTAAAAAAACATTGATGTCTGTGTCCAGCCTACCACCCCAGGGCTGGTTTGTCTGGGATATGGCCTGAGCTTTGAGATTATTCTATAAAGTGCAAATGAGTTTGGAAACGAGTGGTCTATGGAGTGGCTCTCAACTTTGGCTGTATTAGAATCACCTGGATATTATATACATATATAAGTATGTGTAAATATATATGCATATGTATATATATGTATGCATGTGTATATGCATGTGCATATATGCCTATACAGTGCATGCATGTATATATGCATACACACATGCATGTACACATGTATACATATGCATGTGTACATCACATGCATGCATGTGCATGTATTATACATACATGCCCAGGCTCTAGTCCTGGAGACTGATCTATGTCAATATTATTTAAAACCACAATTGGCTGCACATTGGAATCATCTGGAGAGTTTAAAAAATACTGATGCCTGGATCCCACTCCAGAAATTCTGTTTTAATTAGTTTAAGATTTGGTCTGGGCATTGGAATTGTTTCAAAGCTCTTTATGTGATTCTAATATGAAGCCAAGGTTGCAATCCACCAGGTAAGTGAGGGAAACCTGGCTTACCTTGCACGTAATAGGTGCTCAATAAAAATTAAGTATGAAATGAAAGATAGATGGAAGGGTTTATAAGAAATGTCAGTGTTAAAAAGTTGTATGTTCCTGGTTCTTTGGGTACTTCCGTAGGCCTAAATATATTATGCTATGATTTGGGGTGGGGTGCGCTGCAAAACCTAATGAATTCAGCTCACGACCATTGCCTTAGTTGTGGCTACCAGTGGAACTTTCAGCAGAACTGACTGCCAAGATCTTCCTAATTGCTCTGTTCCATTCTATCTACCAGTGGCAGGAGCGGCAGATCTGTCTATCACAGTTCTGATGTGTGCAACATCGTTCTTTGGAGAAATATAACCAGAAACTTGCTTCTGTAAGACGAAGGTGATCGATTTAGCCTGACATGAACTCTATCCAGTACTGCAAGTCTCTGTGAGACCTCTGCCCAGGATTAGTGAGAACTCTCTGGAGCACGAGGCACAGCACCCTGTTGCCTAGTTTCCTTTGTTCCCTAGGTGATTCTTGTTTATTCCAAGGGGTACTGGGAGGGGAAGCATTTCCGCATCTGGCCTAGTGAAAGCAGCTGCTCTCAGTCGTGGAGAGGCTCTACCAGCCTGGAAAGGGGGAAACTGCCAGGTAGCTGCTTACAAAGCAGAATCTGAACTGCTTCTAATGGTCTTTGAAGGCCAGGGCATGGTTCTCAAACCTGAGTGTGCATCAGAACCCCCTGGAGGCATGTTAAACTATAGCTTGCTGGGGCAGTGCCCTGAGTTTCTGACTCAGTAGGACCGGGTGGGGCCCAAGAGTTTGCATGTTAGGGGATGCTTGTTGCCTATGGTCCAGAGGCTGTCCTTTGAGAACTACTGCTCCAGGAGGAAGGATGCTACCCATGTTGTTTAGGGAAAGGACATTATCTGATTGCTGCAAATCTACCTAATGGTCACAAGGACAGGAATTGAAATGACTTCCCAGCCAACTCCTACACTGATAGATTAATTGACACACACACAAAAATTATGAAACACCTATTACATTCCAGGTGTTGTGCAAGCTTTGTAGCTATAAGGAGGAGGAAGATGTAGTTACTCNAAAAAAATTATGAAACACCTATTACATTCCGGGTGTTGTGCAAGCTTTGTAGCTATAAGGAGGAGGAAGATGTAGTTACTCAAAGCAGCTAGTCTGGGGGTGGGTGGGTTATGGACCAATAAAGAGACAGTCACAGTCTCCTAGTGCTCCGTGGATGGGGTGCCCAGGCTTCCATGGGACACACATGGCCAAGAGGGTGGATGGCTCAGAGGAGGCTTTCAGGAGTAGATGATGCCAGTGTGGAATCTTGGAGTCTGACTAGGGGTTTGGCAGTTGGAGAAAGTGCGCAGTGTTCCAGGAGTAGCATGGGCAAAAGTGATAGAGAACATGAGCAAGCCTGGTGTGGGGGCTACACATGGTTTAGGGTGACGGGTGACGAGTTTGTGGACAGACAGGCAGAGAAGGATCCCGGGAGCCTTTCCTCCATGTAGAGGAGTCTGGACTGATCTGAAAGGCAAGGGAAATCTTTGAGGGGTTTTAAGCAGGTGAGTAACATGATCAGACTTGCCTGCAACTTAGAAAACTGGCGGGATTGTGCTCCAGCAGGAGACACAGGAGACTGTTACTGGAGGCCCCTTGGGAAGTGATGAGGCCACAGGGGATGAGATCTTTACATCATCTTGTCCTTGCATCACCCTCTGCCTCTTCTCAGTGTCTCCAACTTTTCAAAGCCATTTCCAATGGTGCATTGACTAGCTTTGTGAGCATCTACTGTGTGTGCTTTTAGAGTGGAACTGATAATTCCTGTGCTTCCCCTACACAGATACTGTTTTTCAAGGAAAATTAAGTGAAGATGAATGTCAAGGGCACCTTGGAGCAGGCAGACCTCAAAAAAGGCAACCAAAGAGGGGTCTGTGTAGAAGGGAGTGGGGCAGCCTGGATGAGATCGGGGAGGGATGTCTCTACAAGTTGTGTATCTGTTGTGTAGCTCTGGTTTTTAAATTTTATTTATTTATTTTTATTTTTTGGTTCTAGCTGGGAGTCATGCTTTCCTCGCCTACTCATACCTTGAGAAGAGATTACAGGCCCTGGGTCATAGTCCAGCCACCTGCTGGCAGCTGCATTTCCCTACTGCCCAGCCCTTCAGTTTAGGGGTTAGTCTTACCAAGGGTGGTCTCCTAAATTCATGGCTCTAGTACTGGGCACTATGGAGGGACAGGGACGTTCAAAGCCAATAAGACC